CACTGTCACACCTGCTACGAAGATGGTTATGGCAAAAAAAAAAAAAAACCATCCAAAACTAATACGTCTCCCTATCAGATCGTCCAACTTATGGACTCTCGTGCTGGCCTCTCCAGGCTTGCAGCCAGGCCTGCATGATCATTATACCCAAAGACCAAGCTACCCTGAATTTGCTGCAGGAAACGAAGGAAATGAAAGATGGGAGGAAAGTGAGTCTTCCACCATTGAATCCCGAGGACAAGAAAGTCAAGATTGTGTTACTTGGCTTCTCAGTCTCATGTGGACCTGATCACATTACACCCACAGGTCGTGGAGGCTTCCCGAATATCGAAAGGGAAGACTCCAACCAGGCAAGTCCTGGTGACCATATAAGGTGCCCCAACCACCACCCTTGATCTGGGTAACTGGGACACCTACAACCTTCGAACGTATGTGCCTGAGCCACTTCGGTGTTTCAAGTGCCAGAAATATGTTAACCACCAGGCTAGCTGCACAGCCAAATGTCCCAACTGTGCCAAGAGGCATCACGCCTGGAGCCTGGTTTGCTCTGTCAGGAAAGAGGCGGCCCTCAGGTGACAAGAGGTTGCTAAAAAGTGCAGAAAAAGAACCACAGGAATAAAGGTTCCAAAAGCACTACAAAATCCTCCCCTAGAGATGATAATCTCTTTGATGAGGAAGATATGACTCTCCTGTTGACTGCTGTTGTCACAGCTGTAGCAACAGCCCTGCGGAGGTCGAGTGAAGAGGACGAAAAGACAGTCACGTTCGTCATGACGGTAATGACCCAGACTGTCGCAGTCCTGAAGGGAAGGAAGTTGGAGAAAGCCAAACCAGCCCCACCCTCACCCCAGGACGAGATTCCCTCTCCCCACTCCAACCCAGGCCATGCCCTCAGAGACAGAGCCAAACCAGGCTGAATCTGTGCAGCCAGAGCCAGAGTACACTGACCTAACCCAGGTAAGACTTGCAAAGAAAAACACACAGAAAAAGCCTGAAGAGATTGATTGATTATTTAAAATTATCTGCCGCGTCAACAGCTAAGGTCATTAGCGGCGAACACCTTGTTAGGTTGAAACATTAGAATATTTAAAAGTTAAAATTTTATCAATAAATGTCATAAATAACAATAAATATTATATTAAAAACCAAAGCATAAATATTATGCTCTAAAAAAAATAAAAAATAAAACCTATTGCATAAACATTATGCATAATTAAATTTTATTGAAAATATTAGTTTCCCTTCTAATAAGACCTTCTATGTCACAATCCTCCCCCAAAACATTTTTCAATGTATATGGGGGAGACAAGTTCCTTTGTCTTTGGTCTAAGAATGTTGCACATCTCTCCACTATATGCGCGACCGTCAATGGCTCTTGGCATCCCTCACAGCTTGCTTCACTCTTAGCCATCATCGGCCCATGAGTCAGTCTTGTGTGCCCAATTCTCAGCCTTGTTAATACAACTTCCACTTGTCGGTTACGATGGATGCTGGTCACCCAACTGCCAAGGTCATCTCTAATCTCTCGTAGCTTATTTCTAGAGGTATGCCTCCATTGTTCCCTCCATTCATCACGAAGACAACTTCTGATGCTGGGTTTCAAGTCAGTGTGTGGGAGAGGAAAACGAGCATCACAAGGCTGAGCGGCAGCTGCCTTGGCCTTCTGATCAGCTCGCTCATTCCCACTGATACCAACATGTGCTGGCACCCAACACAGAGTTATCTTTTTACGTGCTGACATCAGTGCAAGCCAATCTTGAACTTCCCTCACCACTGGATGTGATGAGTTTAAGCTCTTGATTGCTTGCAAGGCACTACGAGAGTCACAATGTATTACAACAGAATGGTTTGTAAGATCTCTAGTCATCTTGACTGCTGCAAGGATGGCATGTAACTCTGCAGTGAAAATCGAGGCTGATCGAGAAAGACTGCCAGATGCAGTCTTCCTTCTGCTCACTGCTGCAAAGCCCACACCATTTTCAGATTTCGATCCATCTGTATATATTGCATATGATCCCTGGTACTTAGAAGTGTGTTGAAGAAATATCTCTCTGACTTCTGCTTCGGATCTCTCCCCTTTCCCAATTCCGACCAAATCAAGCTCGACTTGATTAGTCCAAGGGGGGACTTGGGAAGTTCCAACAGCCAGAACCTTTGTGAGATTTAAATTAAGATCTTCCACAAGATTCCTCATTCTCCTACCATAGGATCGGCTATCCTCAAGGGGGTTGAAAACCAATCTGGATGTAGGAGATCCCGGAATCCTTTGTAGTCTCGTGTAATAAATCAGGTTCATGTAGTCCCGGTGTAATGAAAGAGGTGGTTCTCCACTCTCAGCATACAGGGACTCCACAGGTGAAGACCTGAAAGCCCCTATACAGATTCTCAGAGCTTCATTATGAACCGAGTCCAACATCCGAAGAACAGTGGGAGTTGCAGATGAATATGCCTCACATCCATAGTCGAGTTTACTACGAATAAGTGCTCGGTAAAGTCGCAGAAGCGTTGTGCGGTCTGCACCCCAAGATAGGTGTGAAAGAACCCGCAAAATACTAAGCGCTTTTGTAGCTTTCACCTTTAACTGTTTAATATGAGGCACCCATGTAAGCTTTGAGTCAAAGATTAGACCCAAGTACTTTATCTGTTGGGCAAAATGTAGTGGGTTTGCTCCTAAATAGAGGGAAGGGTGAAACTTTCCTCGTTTGTGGAAATGCATAGCCATGGTCTTGCTTGGAGAAAATTTGAAGCCATGGTATGTTGCCCATTGCACAACCTGATTTATTGCAGTCTGTATGTGTCCTTGCACATCCTGTAAGCTTCCTCCTGAGCAGTATAGTGTAAAGTCATCCACATACAGACTACATGAGACAGCACTTGGAACGACCTTTACGATGTCATTTATAGCAATGGCAAACAGGGTCACACTTAAGACACTTCCCTGTGGGACCCCTTCCAGCTGATCTTCCAGGTTAGAGAAGCTGTTTCCTACCCTCACTCTAAACTTCCTGTTAGCAAGGAAGCTTTGTATGAAGGTTGGCAGTGCTCCTCTTAAACCAATGTCATCCCTGATAACAATGGCTCGTGGAAAACACGTGGTCAACTGGCCAACTCGTGGCAATCCGGTTCAGGACAAGTTTTCCACGTGATTTCCACGTGTCCATTTCTCCTTCTTCTCCATGGTTTATCTGGTGGCTTAATGCACAGGGATACCACGTGAATTCCACGCCCACAATTTTTGCCATTTTGAAAAAAAATATTTAGGCAGCGGGTCCATCAGCTGTGATCCTTTTGTAAGCTCATGGTGACATTGGCGGCTGGGCCCCGCACCCCCCCCCCCCCCGGGTTTGCTGACTGAAAATATAAATCCATAATGGAAACAAAAAAATCATTTCTTGATCGTTTTTTTTTTTTTTTTTTGCCTTTGATGCAAAAACCTGCATCCACCGCACATTCCGTAAAAATGATGCGAATCGTCGACCTGCCCGTGAAGTCAGAATATCTTGGAAAAGCCATTCGAACCCTCCTAGCCCTGGCGGTGGGTTACGGAACCAATCCATTCGAACCACCAATGCTGTTAACAACCGCCATTTTGAAAGCTGCGAGTTTCGTCTTTCCTCCCAGACTTTTTGTTTTTATCGATTTTGGCCCGATATACTTACTTTACTCAGGAGTATTTATCTGTGAAGGTTAGTTAACATACTGAAATCAAGCAGAGCATGCACGTTTCTTACAATATCATGATTAATGCTAGATTTTGAACTGTCTTTGCCGCTCGCTGTGGTGTGTGTTTCCAATTCGCTCAGTGCTCGGCAAGCATTGTGTGTACTGTACAGGTAGCCTCTACATCGGACATTTCATATTGACCACATGGTCGCCTTCTGTGTTAGAAGATTTAAATTAAATGGGCCGGGTATGCAGGAATAAATTTCACCTTTGCTGTAGGAACCTATTAGTATTAAAACTGAAATGAATTTTTTCACCACCAATCCCATACCTTAAGAAAAGTTAAGAAAAGAAAAATAGCCCTATTGTCATTGAATTAGCAAGCCAAGCCGGCCTCTTCCATTCAAAGTGCCCAGGGCCAACCAACAGTTGCAGAGGTTGCTTAGGTTCCTCGTCAAGTTATTTCAATTCTGAATGCTGTTGTCGTTGAAGTCTGTCGACTGAGCTGTGATTTTGATGATGATCAGATGGGAGCCTGTCCCCATTTTTTACTTTTGTTTTGGCCCGTTAGTGTTGCATAGAGGCCGATAAAAAGTGATCAGCCTTTCTTCTGATAAATGCACCCACCTCAGTTTGGCAAATCTCACAATTCGTATAGGCCTACCTATCTGAATTCAACAACTGTTTGGAATCAAACAACTTGGTAGTTTCTGAATTGCAACAACACTGAGCCCAAAATAAAATTGGTATTTTGGTTTTTGGGAAGACAACAAAATATGTAGGCAGTTTTTCTTTGGAAGAGGCACCAGTTACTGAACTGTATACAAATCTGCCACGAGATTAAATTTGCTGAGTGCATTTTCAAGCGAGAGCTCGGTGTTTTATTTCTCTATACATTCTGGCGCAGCTACGTACAAAACTTCCCAATGATTTTAAAAAGCTGACGCAATTAAGATGATGCTTTTGTATTTTTTGTATCTCGTCGGGTCGCAGCCTTGTCAGTTATAAAAAGATAGTTTGATCAAGCATTACCTGTGCCAGACCGGGTTGAGCTTTATTTCCTTCAGTAATTCCATTTAATGCTGAACATCAGGGTTGAATTCAGATACGACCCGAATTGTCAGATTTGCTAAACGGATCGTAAGCCCAGGTTGAAACTATAGCACAGTTAAGTCGGATGGGGGGAGGCCTAGTGTTGGTGTGGCAGCAAGTTGTTTATTGCTTGATTGTTTTGTCTCACTTGATTACAGTCTCACTCAGGAACATAAATTGACTGTTCATGTTTTTTGGGTTTTTGTAGCCTTGCCTGGAAAAAATAATTCTCTTGCATTACAAGAATGACAAATAGCGATGAGGTTTCATGGTGGACTCGGCGTCGGAGAGCAATTGCCGAGGTTGATGCAGAATTGGCAGTACATGCAGGCAGCTTGATCAATTTGTTTTCATCGCAGGAAGAGTCTGAAACTATTTTCCCTGGTGATGAAGTCATAATAGCTGATGACACCAACTGCGAGTCGGAGCATAATCTAACTCATGATTCTGTTGGCATAACGTACTCTGACGGTGAAAGAAGTGATAGTGATCTCCTTTTGGGGGATGATGGGTGCCAGGTTCAGTATCTTCCTTCACATGAGTTGTCCCGTTCTTCGTCCCTAACCAGTCTATATTCAGAAGATGATGTTTCTAGTGACCACATGTTCAGTGGCGATTATGATCTGAATTATTTAGATAATGAAGAAACGCATGACTGTAATTCATCTGCTAGTGATGATGAAGATGGGAATTGTCATGATAGCGATGCTGAGCTCAGAGATGAGCTATGTATTTGAGCTAACGAGTTTCAGATATCTCATTCTGCTCTTTCTGCATTGCTTGGAATTTTACAGTCGAAGCATCCAAATTTACCAAAGGATCCACGCACTCTCCTGTCCACGCCTCCTGGTGTCTTAGTCCATAATGTTGCTGGTGGACATTACCATCACTTCGGGATAAAAACAGGTGTTGTTTCCAAACTCAATGGTTACCGAAGCGAAGTTGAAAATATGGCTTATGTCAGTCTACAGATTAATATTGATGGCTTGCCAATATTTAAGAGTTCAGCAGGGCAGTTTTGGCCAATTTTGGGCATGATTGATAATTTATCGCAGAAGGATCCGTTTGAAATTGGAATTTACTATGGGACATCAAAGCCATCTTGTAATGTTCAATACCTCTCCTTTTTTAAAGAGGAGCTGAATCAACTGGCTGAGACGGGCATTGATTGCTTTGGGATCAATTTCAGTGTCCGTATTTCAGCACTGATGTGTGATGCACCTGCTCGATCTTTTGTAAAGGGTATTAAAGGCCACAGTGGATACAATTCGTGTGAAAGATGCACTACTTCAGGAACTTGGTGTGGCAGAATGACCTTCCCAATTCTTGATGCTCCCCTCAGAGATGATGCAAGTTTTGATGCTCGGGATGATGAAGCCCACCACACTGGTTCTTCCCCGTTAAGTGGCTGTCTTATTCCTTTGGGAATGGTTAGCCAGGTACCTCTTGATTATATGCACCTTGTTTGTTTGGGCGTTATGAGACGTCTGTTAGTGCTGTGGTTGAAGGGTCCAAAAAAGCAGCGCATTGGTGGAGCACAATCTCGTGAAATTTCTGGTCTCCTCGAATCTCTCCGCAGTGATGTGCCATGTGAATTTGCAAGGAAACCAAGGTCTCTCACTGAAATAGACCGTTGGAAGGCCACAGAATTCAGGCAGTTTTTACTTTACACAGGCCCATTAGTACTAGCTCAAAGCAAACTTAATGACAGTTTATACAAACATTTCTTGTTGTTGTCAATTGCTATGCGCATTCTCCTGAGTCCTACATGTTGTGCTGATCCAGAAATGATAGATTACTCAGAAGAACTTATTCTCAAATTTGTTGAATATTTTGGTCACCTTTATGGAAAGGAATTGTTGGTCTACAATGTCCATTGTCTAATTCACCTCCCTCAAGATGCGAGGGTGTTTGGCAGTCTTGACAACATTTCATGCTTTCCCTTTGAAAATTTCCTTGGCAAGATAAAAAAATTGGTGCGCAAACCCTCTCAGCCACTTCAGCAAGTTGTCCACAGGCTCACTGAAAGGAAGACCGAGACTTCAGTGCTGGTCTCTGATGTAGGTCCAAGGTGTAGAAAACTGCATATCTTTGGCTCAACCCCGAATGCTATACTTCAAGGGTTTCAGTACAAAGAATTACATCTCCCTTGTGGCGTTATATCAACAGCCAAAGGAGATAACTGCATTTTGGTCAATGACAGAGTAGTCATGGTAAAGAATATTGTGGTTTCAGAGGGAACAGAATACGTTGTGTTTCAGAGGTTTAGACATTCTGATAATTTCTTCAGCTACCCCCTTGAATCTACAGATCTTGGTATTTGTCTTGTATCCATGTTAAACACTTCTCTAGATTACACCCCAGTGGCAGACATTCAGAGGAAAATGGTCCTTCTTCCTCACTCTTCTAAAGGGAATAAGGCTTCTTATCTAGCTATACCTTTGCTTCATAATTAATGTCAGTCAGGGGGAAAAACCCAAATATTTGAAACATTCCTAAAATTTGGAATGCATCCCAAATTTCTGGAAGGATCACAGCACCATCTGTCGTCTGTAATACCCAGCCTTTTGTTGGCTATATGAACTTGTGGTATTTTGGACTACTGTGCAGTGGCTTGAATCAGTTGTTATGTCAATGAAACATTCCAAAATTTTGGAATGAACAAGTTGCAAAGTTCATTTTTGAGACTGAATGTATACGTGATGCTCAATCTCAGTTCAATATAGGGCATAGGGCGCGAGTTAGTTTGTGGATGGTCACAGGTATATAATAGTTTTCTATTATTGATTTTTAATATTCCATATCCACATTTTTGCAACAGTTTTGTTCACTGTGGATTTGTTGAAAACACTTTTCCACTATTCAGACGTTGCCGTTAGGGACATTTCAAGTCTAGTAATGTTCCTAATTTTGGAGTTTTCCCCTGACTGAATGTTACATAGGTGTTCAGGAAACTGTGGTTTATGGACGAGGTGGAGTTTTCTGCAAGTTGGCCTACACTTGTCCTGGCCTGTTTTAGATTTAAACTGAAAGCCCTGGTGGCAAAAATTCATATATTTTGACTCATATTTTTTGTCTTAAATATTAAATGGGGACAAGCGACAGGACGTTTTAAGAAATGTAGCTCAGAATTATGTCTGACATTACCTTGAAGAAACTTGATTTTTGAAGGATGTTTGTAGCCCATTTTATGGGAGACAAAGTAGGAAATTGCTACAGATGCTAACTAATCAAACAAACACTATGATATTGTAGCCTACTGTATAAAAATTAAGCAAAATTTATCTTTAATCCAGTTCTGAATTCATGGCATGCAACAGTAACGACAAAATCTACTCGGTAGTAGAATTCTTGGGGAGGAAAGAAGTGGAACTTGTGGCCTCAAAATGGCTGTTCAGAGAGGTGCGAAATGGAACGGAAGTAAGAAGAGTTTATTGGCCACCATTAGCAGCGAACAAATGTCGTGCTGAATGTATCAAGCAAGCAGAACCAGATTCCAAAAGGTGGAAGTCATTTGATGTTCGGATTCTTTATCAGACTGGTATGTTTAAAAAAAAATCTGTATTTTTTTGAGCTGATTTCCAATTTGTACAACCCATGCATGTGGAGAGCATGTAATTTGATTTAAATACAGGGCCAACTAATGCTGGTACTACAAAATGAAATCTAGCACACATTGGTAATCCATTTGAGCAGGAGCAGGAGCAGGAGTGCTTTCGGGTGTGTGTTCCGAGTATTCAACTTCAGTGTACTTCATTGCTTGATATCATGTGATATTTAATATTTGAAGCGACTGTCTTGCACCAACCCTAGATAATGGAAGCACCAATATGACACACAACATCAGCATAATTCTGTCTTAGTGCCTGAAGAAGGCCCTTGTGGCCGAAAATTTGCATTGAATGTGACTTATTTTATATGTTGTCTTGTACCAACCCAAACAAAACAGTTGGCAATAAAACCTCCGGAGGGAACCGGCTTGAGATGGCCATAAGATGGATGAACTCATCAATGTGAATAGGTTCTCAGAGTGCTTAACCCCTTATTGCAAGAGTGCAGTTTCTGTCACCATAAAAATGTAACTTGTGTAAAATACACTAATAGCAGATTTCAACTTCCCTTTTCAGCTGACCTTTCCAGGGCAATGCTAAAGTTGTCCATGTCTGAGTATACCTCAGACTTGGAATCGACATGTACGGAGGAGGATAAAGAAAACCCAAGCATTGGCAACAGGTCAAAAAGGACTCTGAGGTTTGTTTTCGAATTGGAGAATTTCCTATTTCCTCAGGCTAGTGGACTGTGCACTTCTTCCTTGTCCCAGCCTCCCACTCTTCAGCATTTGACCACTGGCTTGGCGCTTTAGTTACAAAACTGATGCAAAACAGAAGGAACTACTTCGCAGGCATCAAGTACAAGGGTTCATTGGAAACATGCAGACTCACTTAGCAGATCTGGAGAAAAGTGAATCATGTGTTTGCTTAAATCCTTAATTCACATTTCAAGCGTGACATTTTTTAAGACATCGGATTTGTTGATGTTTGTCAGTTTCCGTCCATTCATCATTTTACCCAAGTAAGTACCCAACTAAAAAGACTTGTGGACGTTGTTAGGAAGAAAGGGTAACAAACAGTGATACAGGCAAATTAGACCTGACAGTTGAGTGACAGCCTACAACCTCCATTGCAATTGCTTCTTACATCCTATTTTACAATGTAATATATTTCTGATATTGCAGGCCACCAAGACGATTTTTGGTATCTGATGATGATGATGATAATGATGGTGATGATGACGACATGGATGGTTCAAGTGAACTTGCTCATGCAGAAGAGCAACCACTCTCCAAAGAAAGAAGAATGGAAGCCCCATCCCCACCCAAGGTGCCAAGGTCACTGACCTTTCAGAAAAGACCATTATCCCCTGTTTCTAAAACTAAAGGCATTGCGAGAAAGACACCGGAGACGCCAATCCACAATGATGTGTGCTTGGAGCAGATTCGTCAATATGCAAGGATAGGAACCATTCGCACACCAAGAGCCAGTCCATCCGACCATCAGCCGGTACAGTTGCCTTCTCCTTCTCCGTCTGCCAGTCCCTCTGCCAAAAATGATTATTCAGACAAGCTGGCCAATAGTCTGGTTGAGCTTACACAAGAAGGTATGTCTACAACATAAAAATTAAATATTTATGGCAGCCTAGTTTTTGCATGGCCTTCTTTGCAAAATTGATTCACTTCTACAAGGCCAGTTGCCAACTCACATGGTTGGTTTGGTGTTTCTGACCAAGTCATTCTGTCAATGAAATTCTGAAGTATTTTTTTCAAAAAAATAGTTCTACGGCAGTGGATTTTGAGCCCTGCCTCTCTACCACTATGTGCTACAGTTGGTTATTTGTGAACAATGTATGATGTCTAATTTCTAGTTCGTCGTATGAGAATAAATATGGCTGAAGCAAGAGACGAGGCTAGACAGAGCAAGAAACTTCTAACAAAGATTCTGGCAATCGTAAGCAACCCAGCACAAGTACCGGCAGAGGAACAAGAACAGCCGCAGCCATTGCCATTAAGTTCATTTGATGAATTCAAAGAAATGGAGCAGAGATTGGAGGGGGACAAGGCATTTGCAAGAAACCTGGTAGGTTTTTAAAATTTCCTTTCATGAGTTTTACATGGATAGGAAACTTGTTACGCACAAAGTCACATGTTCATGTACATACAGTGAACTTCTGCTAAAAATGTAATAAAGATCCAGTTCATAATCTAAACGATAAAGATTTGCACACACTGCAGAATACCTTGGCATAGAGAACACATGACAGTGACTTCCGTGCATTTTTGTCAGAGTTGACCATTGCTGAATAATGGATTGCATCAGTTGATTTCAGATTGAGGCTGTGTTTGCGATTTCGAAAGATTATCGTCCTGACATATGTAAATTCTTTATCAATTTGTAAATGGCTGTATATTCTCTTTCATAGGCTGTGCACTTGAGCAAATTTGGGGCACCTGATGTCAAAAAATCCACAAAATGCATCTTGGAAGCTACCATGACATTTTCTTTAATGACGAAATTCAATTGGAAGGGCCAGCGAGGCGAAAAAATAGCAATGCACAACCAGCAGCTGGTGTCAGTGATATGTGGTGAGTTGTTATTCATACATCAACAACTCTCAAGGCTGAGAATAGTGTTTTGACTGGTGCCTGTCAAAGAGTCAATGTTTGCAGCAGACAAAATGTCAGGCATCATCCAGCGGGCACCTGATCATTGCTACGCAAGAGTCAGTTGCAAGGTTCCCCAGTAATGCATGTTCATGGGTGCCTATAAATGTCAGTGGAGTGTTTTTAATTGTGCCCCATTGAAAGCAAACTCAATAAAATGTTCAGCGTTTCATTAGGCCTCAATAAACTAGCTGTTTATCACAACCAATCAAGTCAGAATCTGACCAGAAAGTTTTGGTGAGGTGAACTTTACACAGTCATGGCATATTGTCCACATTTTAATGGAAGCCCGGATGTTTGATAACATCACACCAGTGTATTAATTTCTTAATTTCATTTTCAGCTGCAGTACGGCACAACAGGGCAACAAAGGATGCCACAAATGAAGAAATCAAGGCAATAATAAAAGACCACTTGAGGTATGCAGACAAACGGCTGCAAAGACATAATAAAAAGCCTGCTGGAGCCAAAGATACAACTGATCTCAGTGAAGATGAAGGCACACAGGAGAGAGATGAGGATTTGAATACCGAGGAACTCAACTGAACACCACAGTGGGAAGAAATACATTGATACATATCTGACCCTGCAGTTTATTAACAATATATAATAAGGTGGCTGAAATTCTGTGTGTTTCAGGGCTTCTATTAACCCAGAAATTTTTCTTAAGGCTGTATTTTCACCCTCGGACAGTGGGGGAAATCCCAATTCATTTCCATTTTGCGAACCCTTAACAGTTTGGGCATTCCCTTACCTTTCAGCCTGGTAGTCTACAAAAAGCCAGAGTTAAAGAGTACCAGGATGTGATTGCCTGGTGTGCCTTTTGGTTTATAAAAGATTGTTACATGTAGATCGTAAAACTGCTGGCTCTCCCAGTGTTCGTCCACAAATGTCAAAATACTCATATAAAGGTTTATGTAAAGAATTTATTCAGGTTTTATTTTTATAGTTACTTCTTTAATTTATGCAAAAATTGATATTGGTGAGCTGCTAAAGTCTACCACTACACGGTTTTTGCACTCTCCAATCTGGCCAAATTTTGTACTGTAGTTAAAAGTTCTTGCACGCATGTATATTAAGGGCGGTAATACATTTTGCCTTATTATCAAATAGCGAGATTTTGTTATCTTAAAATTTTAAGTTCAACAACTCTTCAAATTCCGTTCATTTTCGTGCAAGACAGTTGTGAATGAAGATCATTTTGTCAAAATAAATTTTCAAAAAAAGA